TTTGGTCACGGGTATCGATCACTGCATGCAGACGCGCAAGGGCTGATTTCACCTTACAATTAGCACATTTCAATCTCATCAAAAGAAATCCTTGGGAAATTCTATTTCAGGTCCAGAAGATATCATTGAACGATACTTCTTTATGAAGTTAATGCTCCCACAAACTTCAAACAAAATCCATACATTCGATGGAGAAAAGTTAAAACTGAGGGGTAAAATAAAATCTAACAAAAGAATTAACAATAATAATGGATTCTGAACCTTAGGACTCATGTCCGTTTCGGGAATACTCCCCAAAACACCCATTGCTTCTTCACGTTTGCCTTGTTTCAGCAAACATCGATGCAGGCGATATTTCAGTTCGGATTCACTGAATTTCTTAAAAAATGACACATTATTACTTCATGTGCCCATACGATTCTGCATAAGATCGCTACCATGTATGTGACGATTTTGATCAATTCGCATAGTTTTCAAACAGATTAGAATATCCTCTTGTTATTCAACAAGAAAAATTAATGTAAGAGATGTNGATGTGTATGCATACCAGCTCTTTCGGTGGCTTTGTCAACATCTTCGTTACAGTAATCGCACGATAGAACGCCTAAAAAGGAATGAAATAAATAGCTGTCGTCAAATTGCTACTATAATGATTATTATCTACAATATTACTATTGAAACAACTATTACTACTGATATCCTTAAGAGTACGGATATCATTATTATTACTATAAAGATTACTGTTATTGTTATTATTATGATTATTATTACTGCTATTATTATTGTTACCATCATAATGATTATAATTATTATATTATTACTATTACTGTTATTATTGTTATTATCATGATCATTATTATAGAATTACCCATCAGAAATAGGACCTTCATGGAAAGATCATAACTCGAATTGTATCAATACCTCTTGACTTTTGGTATAATTATCGGACTGATAGTAAGAATCAGCACCAATTGAAGCAATGTTTGCAGATTGAATCTGTGTGAGGGTATTCAGTTCATTTGTTGATAACTCTAGAAGTGTGGTCACGTCTTCGTACAGTTCCAGTTCATACAGTTTACAGACACTGTCATAGACGAACTGCATTCCGAGTTTGACTTAAATTTACGCTCGATTACTTTGAAGTCAAATAATTTCGAGTTATTGCTAGCAAACGAAACTGCAGATGGTGGCCAACCGTCGATGCAATTTAGTCTTTTCATTTGCTTGAACTACCCTTATAGTTAGGTTTAATCTTCCAATTGGTTCGAAAGATGCGCTTCAGCTTCAACTTCGACTTAGGTTTAGGCTTAGATGAAGCTTTGAATGCCCTTCTATCATTATTCTTCAAATTGTTTAAGCATATGCAAACCCTGTATGCACCGACCCATTTTTGTATGGTATGAAAGCCGTTATCGTCAGATTTCAAAATAAATTTGAAATGTCCACGTTGCTTCCAGTCCAAAATATGATCAATTGAATAGGAATACTGAAAGATGGGTGAGAAGATATTCGTTGTGCCGCTTTGATTAACGATAAAAACCGCAAAAAATGAGCAAATTCAAAATATTTCGAAGAGTTTTTATCAAGAAATTAAACAACAATTAAAACATTCCATTATCACGCTAA